TAAAGCAGAGTTGCAAAGACAGCAGTAAATTCCTGTACAATCTTCAAAAATCATCTAATGTTGTCAGTTTACATAACCGTGGCTCATTAGTGAAATTACAAAGCACAATTAATTGAACTATATTTTTGATTTGTATCTCAAGTTAATTAATTTAAAAAATACTTTAAATTATTTATTAGATGTGTGATGCATATACACCATTTAACATTCACAACTTTTATTTTTACTCTAATTTCTGACATTCTTGATTTGTTGTCAGTTCCAAATTATTTTTGTTCGCAGAGTATAGCCAGATGAGCAGACCACTTGGACCACACTGACAGAGTTAATAAAGTAATTTTCGAACTTGAATACACAGTTTTACAATTCTCAGAAAAACACAATACGTGGGTAGCGATGATATTATTATTAAAAGATGAAGAGAAAGGAAGAAAAGAGATTGCTAAAAATGAATGGAAACAAAACAAAACCATAAAGCAATTGAAAATTATTATGATCTTAAAATATTTGTATGCTTTAAGTTAGAATCTGAATATTACCAATATACTACTAGCTTTTGATAATTTTAAAGCCAAATCATATTCGAATATAGATATTGTGGCTAATTTATTTAGACAATCAGATCCCAAATGTTCAAAGATTTTATGTAAAAGTAAATGACACTTTGAAATGAACCTTATTTGGTTTTTCAGTTGTAAATACTGATAATTTAGTCATGATTAGAAAAAGCTCACTTTGATAATGTCTGCAGGCATTCTTGACATTTTAAGTTTCATGAAGTACCTTTGCATTTCATATTTCACTACAGAAAAATGCAGAAAAGTACAGCAAAGTACTTTTGTGTAAATAACATGATACCAAAATGAAAAGGTGCTATGTAACTATGTATGTATGTCTGTGATACACACACACACACACACACACACATATACATACATACATATTTCTACCTTTTAGAAAGACATGCTTGTAGTTTACAATACAGTATCTCAAACAATGATTCCACAGAGATTCTAAAAAAGTTAAAAATATTTATAAGCATCTGTAACTAATGGGACTAATACCAAACAAACATACATACAAAATATGACTGCACTTTACACACTATCCAAAAAGGCAGAGAGATTTCAATTAAGAGCCTTTTGGAATACAGCTCAACAAAGTTTAATTGAACATTTTTTTTTTCTGAAATGAGAAAATAAAATCCAGTGTGTACCTCCTCCTACGCCCCCAGAAGTTACCCTCGTCACATCACATTACTACATAAAAAGGACACATGTGGCAAACTTCATCTATATAAACATTGCCTATGCAAAATGCGCTCAATTACTTGGCAAGAGTTTTAATCATTTTAAAATGGTTTGGGAGGTCTATCGTTTTCATTTTAAATTTCAAGTTTGATGAAATAAAAACTTTTTTGCACTTTGAAATATATCAAATGATCTTGCTCTTTGCATTACTGTTTTGCCATAGAAAAATTTAGAAACAAGAAAAAATATTTGGTTGCAAAAAGCCTAAAAATGTTGGACAATGATGGTGCAGAAAGTATAACTTGTCTTTTAGCCATGGCTTCTTTAGCTTGCAAATTATTGATAGAATACCAATTTAACACAATACCTATATTGAATGTAGGAAAATAGAATTTACAGTCATCCTGGCTTAGGTCTTTGAATGGCACTTATGTGACTTGTGAGGTTGAACAAGTTAACACAACTTTCCTTGGCCCATTTTCTCATATGTGGAATTTTACAAGAGAAGTAAGTATATGCTGATGCATAGAGCCTGTGTTTTATTCCATGTATAATTTAGAAAACATTTTTGGATCATTGTGGTTTCAACCAAAAATATTGTTGACATTACAATGACTGTATCAAATAATGATTGAGATTCTTGCATCACAATCTTCTTGAGATTTACAGATCTCTAGAATGGCATCATGAAACAGTCTGGGTTTAAGCTGTCAACATTTGGAGTCTCTTAACACATTTTTTTAAAAAATAAATGATACGGCATTATTTAGAATTCTCAGGTTGTAATTTGCAAGACATGGGCTGTCATTCTTATGTCACTTCTTTAACAGGCACTGCTGATAATGCTGGCCATACTTGGGTTAGAACCCTTTTAGGTTCACCTTGTTATTAATTCCCCCAGGTTTAGTTTTCTGAATTCAAGCTTAGTCCTCCTGGAGATAGGCCTCTTTGTTGGCTCCTAGACATTCTACTATAACTGGTGCTTCAAGTTTTTATTGGTATTTGACCTTTTCAGCTTACTTTCACACTTGAAGTACCTGAAAGGCATGTTTTCCGAGCTCTGGACCCTGAAGACGTTGGAAGCAAGATTAAATAAATAGGTGGTGATTTAAATGCACATGTTATATCAAAAAGTCTCTAAATTTCTGGAAGTGCCATAGAATGGTCAGTTGCTTATTGTTAATAGTACATAATGAAAAGAACTGGCAATTCAAAGTAATTCAGTTGAAGCTAAATAAAACTTAAGGCAAAGAAAATAGATTCAGGTCCTGAAATTCTGTTTCAGGTGCGTAGTATAACTTGAATGAAGTCCTCACTTCAGACCTTTGCTGTCATACTAACTTAATTACATGCAATAGGAGTATAGACAGTCTTCCACATTTTTCTAATGTTACATTCCAAATAAGTATCTGAGGAATTTTGGGGGACAACAAAGAAGAAGCATAATATAGTACATATGGCTTTTGAGATGTGGTTTGAGATGCTCATGTCCCTCAATAGAATCCCTGGGATCTATTTGGTTCTACTCCCAGCCCAGGTACCAGGTGATGGTTCAAATTCCTGTGTCCCTACCATTCATACGGGTGAACTGGAGTGATGCCTGGGATTCTAGCTTTTGGTGGGCCCGCATCTGAATGTGTGGGTGTTTGAAAAGTAAACTAGTGCTTTACCTTAGGGATACATTAAAATATTAAAAAGAGAGAGAGAGAGAGAGAGAGAGAGAGAGAGAGAGAGAGAAACTGTGATGATTTCTCCTCCACCAAATTGTTCTAAAATAGGATCAGAAAATCTAGAGAGACTTTTAATGCCACCAAGAAACAGCCAATTATTCAGAATCACATAACTTGTTTTAAGCCATTCAGTGGGCTACAGTGTTAACAGTGAGACAATGAGTTTGTATTGTGAACCACACAACTCTACATGTGGGGCTCCTGTTGCATCTTAGGTGACACCTGTTAGCAATTGCCTCCTGAGTCCTCTGCCTCAGCCACATTGGGGTATGCTCTCTTTCAGGAATAAATTTCACCATTCCCACAGTAGAGATCTGATAGATACTTTCCTCCTGCTTAAAAATCATCACCCCGACCTTCAGGACACAGCTCTAGCACCATTTCCAACAGTTTTTTCAACTGTTATTCTTGCCCAAATATTTATTTACTGTCATTCATTTTCAAAGTTTATTAATCTTCCTCACCTTCTCATTATGATAATCTTCTAAAATTTTAAATGACTTATTTGTTATTTTGGGAGTTACAGACACACACACACACACACACACACACACACACACACACGGAGGAGGAAAGGGGAGAGAGAATATCTGTGCTCTGGGCTAGACCAAAGCCAGAAGCCAGTACTTGCATCCATGTCTCCAAGGTGGGCCATTCCTGTTGATTTTCTCAGGGCTGTTAGAAGAGAGCCAGATTGGAAGTGAAGCCACAGAAACAGAAGCTGATGCCCCAGTGGCATACTGGCATTACAGCCTGTGGCATTTCTCACTGTGCCGCAATGCTGGTCCCTAAAGATTTGTTTTTTCTGACCCTTTTGGATACCTGACATTATATATTTATGTGGACTCTAAAAATCCTTGTGGAAAACATGGTTTTAATGATTATGTTTCTTTTGTTTATAAAAAAAATTGAAATTGATGCAGTTTGTTTTACAAGGATTTTCCATGAACTTGTTGAAGATTCTCCTTTTTCACTTTAGGCCCATAAAAATGGATTTACTTTTACTTTAGATTTAAGTTATTTGGGAATGGCAGGTGACATAGCAGTCTCTGGGCTTGGCATCCCATAAGGACAATGGTTTTGGTCTTGGCTGCTCCTCTTTTCTTCTAGATCTTTACTTAAGACCTGGAAAGCAGTGGAAGATGACTCAACACCTTGGGACCCTGTACCCACATGGGAGCTTGGCTCAGATTCAGCCTTTATTGCCATGTGGGAAGTGAACCAGAGGATAAAAGATGTCTCTCTCTGGTGCTCTTTCCTATCAAGCAAGAATAAATAAATCCTAAACAATTCTAAGTCATTTGGTTACCTGAGCCAAGCAAAATTACAAAATGAGTTCAAAGTGGCAGTAATGTTTCATTTGGGAAATATAGAATATGCAGGTGATGAGGAATCAAAACAGGATTTAATTTATTACCCAGGTTTTTACGGTTTGACATAGAAGATTCATTATTTATTTCCAGTTGTATAATTTAAATGACTATTAACTACAGCAAAGCTAAACCAGATATACCCTTCTTTTTCATTGTAGTACAACTTGCCATCATAGCATGTTTATTCTTATATCTGGACTTGTTTTCTTGAAGCTGTTTAATAAAAAAACATCCCAGAAATAGTATCTTTCAATAAGAAATGAATATGCATTTACTCAAATAAGTCAATGGCATACCGATAATAATACCCAAAACAATTACTGAAGGTTATTTATGGTCATGATCTTATTTTTTGCAAGCTGTACTAATATCTAGCCATAATATTTATTTATTTATGAACAACTCTACTCCAGATGTTAACTCACTTAACTCACTTTTCACAAGTCAGAATCACAAATTTTAACATCCTGATTTTCCAGATGATAAAAATGAAATTCCAGGTATCATAGCACATTATCCCATGCTCTACCACAGAAAGAATGAAGACCAAAGTCAATGATATTAACACCTGTGCTTTGGTTGAGTGCCTCAACTTCCTCTGTAGCTAACAATGGGAAAACCATTCATCGCTTTGTAATTGATCTTACCTTTTTCCATGTGATTTTCCATGGCCATATTGTGAGCAGGGGTTATGGCTAACTTTCGCCGCTCTACAGAAAAAAAGGTGACCATGACATGGAATGTGGGAATGCGTTGTTATGTAGCAACACATTCTTATCTACTGGACTGGAACTAAGAATACACCAGTTTCAACCACAGTGTGTTAGGAGAAAAGCATTCACCTAACCTGAATAATTTGTATAAGTTTGAAAACTAAAAAGGCAAAAAAAAAAAAAAGAGGAACAAAACGTAAAACAAAAATGAGCCAATATACATTTATTCTTGTTTTTAGGAACCAACATCTTAGACAAGTTTATGGCTGTAAATAACTATTGTGTATTTTCTTACTTCAATATGGCATAAAAATGTCTTAAAGCAGAAGAAAAGCCCATTGTAATGTCTTAGATAGTAAAAAGCAAGGCATTTTTTCTTTATCTAATAGTTTATGCAAAGACTGATAACATATGTGTTGATTCTGTTCATGGTAGAAGGAAATTCTCTCTTAGCCAGGCTTTCCTATGATCCCTAACAGAAGGAGTTATTATTTAGGGCTTATGCTACTTTTAGCAAGAAATGGTGTTAAATTCCCATCCTATGACCCATTTAATTGCTAGCTCTCTGAAAATTGGTGTTAGGTGGTTTAATCCTCTCTAGTTGCCACAAATGAAATAGCAAAGTAATCGAAAGACAGGGCAGGAGAAGAAACTGGATATGCAAACTTGCGTGGAAAGAAAAGAGTGTTGCTGACTGTTGAGGGAGAAAAAGTCGGTGGAAGGAGAACTTTCATAAACGAAATATAGGTTCCTTTGTTCATTTAAATGTTATGTATGTATAAATAAAAAATGAAATTCACCATGAGTAAGACCCATGCCACAGTTTAAATGTTTAATTAATAAAATGTTATTAAGGTACACTATCTATACCTGCTTTGTGAGGGCTTCTGCTCTTGGTCATGATCGCCACAATGCACAGCTAGAATCAGCAGCAGAGTGCATATCGGAAGCCCAGTTCAGACCATGCCAAGGCAAAAGCTGTAGTGCCACAATAAAATGTCAGTTATATTAAGGTAAAGGGAAGAATTTATTAAACAGAGAATCTCTTTTCGTAAAAACTGAAACAGATGTCCTCTGTCTCATCACCTCAAATGTGTAACTTTGACTCAACCTTGGCCAAAAGGTGGAGGAGCAATGGATGTCTAACTTTCATCTTGGACCTTAGTGTAAGATTGCTTAGTTGGTGTGGACTTTTTAATGAAATATTTACATACTGAATTGTGATCTTATTGTGTTTATGGCATTGATGCATAGTGTACTTCGGCATATGCATATTTACAGGAAATTTGTGCGATACATGACTTCAGCAAATGTCTACCCACTTGTAAGGCTTACACTTACTTAGAAAGCAAAGAAAATTCTCTGCTCTAAATAAGTTTCTCTAAGAGAAGCTAAATGTAATGTTACATGAACTGATCTTCACTCAGGTTTTAAACATGATTTAACTTTTTAATATGTATAGATTTTCAGGAAAATGCAAGGTGGATCTTGATCGGTTTATTTGTAACTCTAAAGTTATCAAAATTTCTCAACTTTCTGCTTCTTGTTAGATGATCTGCAATTGTTCAGCGTAGACCCATTTAGACAAGGTGTGAATATATTTCTCTCTAAGACACTAGATAATCTCTACAAGTTGTGGAAAGGGGCTCTTCATAAATTATACTTCTAACACTGAAAAAAAGTGCTGTCTTTGATCTTGTAGGTAAAAAGCTCTATACCCAAGGGAATGAATTAATTCCTATATTTAATAAGATGCAATCATTAGTAGACAACTTAAGAATTCATCCTGGTGCTGCACAGCAAGTCTATTCGGCATACTAATAATTCTACAGCAGTGCTGTTTAAAGGAATTTTTATTTTATCTCTATATAAAATGTGAGAAAAATGATATTTCAAATATAACATAAATAACACCACTAAATGGAGATAAATATCAATTTCCAATGTGTAGTATACTTATAACTGTTTCACCAAAAATTGCTTAACATTTAACTTTAACAAATCCATATAATACATGGCTTAATATTTGCAATGATTTTTGCTTACCAGAAAAGCATCCGAAGAAAATTCAGCTGTTACATGGTTATGACTGGCAGTACCAAGATTTTCTGATTGCTTTCATGAAATCCAGAGATACCACAAATAATTTTCTAAATGTTGAGACTTAATGCAAACTCTGAGTGCAGATTGTCTAAGCACTCTCCTTGATAAAATACTCAGAGAGGGAAATAAAAGTTATGTCCCCTGATCAGCTGCCAGGCAAATGTCATTTGGATGTAAGTGGCCATTGACATAAGTCAGATTCAAAAATGAGCTAAAGATAGATGCTATTAATGACCCACTATATTTTTTATGTATGAAAATGAAACAAAAATTAACTTTTAGGTTGTCCACAATATGTTTCTATTGAAATTACACTTTGGCCTTATTACATTAATATATTTCCTTAAGCATCATACAGATAACTGCCACAGAAAGCTCTATCTTGTTTATGATTTACAAATAATACTAGCAGCTTACTAGTTTGAGCATTTACTGTGAGTCAGCCGCTATGGGGATTATTTTATAAACATAATCTAACTTTCAGGCTTATGCTATTATTTTACCAAAAAAGGAAAGCAAGGCTTAGTGAACATCCAATCACTTGTTAAAAGTCACAGTTATCTGATGGCAGCATGGATTTATCAATAATCCCTCATCCCAAACTTGGCACCCATTTATGTGAAATTTTTTCCCAATATTTCAAATTTATCCTCTAGAAAAAGAAGGAGAAAAGAAGAAAGCTGAGAAGAAAGTTACCACAGAAACGAAAAAGAAAAGTAAGTTATGCTAACACATAAACTAATGGGTATCACGCAAAATGCTGGTGATAAAGTTGTTTTTAAGTAAAGAGAGGGACAGCGTGAAAGGGAAGAACTGCAGTTTTATAATTCTATCTAAGAACTATTTTAAATCTGTTCTAATTATTGCATTAAGTTAAGAAAGCACAGACTGAATCAAATCTAAACAAAATATTGTATTGACCTTTTCATTTTTGAGCATTCTTGAGATTTCCAAGTATTCTAAAGTTGAAAGTTATTAAAAATGGAATGAGAATTCAAGTCTGTAGACTTTTGAAACATTGCTACTGTTTTTTTCTTAACCTGTTCATTTCTTCCCTACTACTTTTCTAGACTGTATTTGTCAATGTGAATATAACTATTAAACTAATTCAGTTCATCAAAAGCAAATTACATCATATAAAGATAACAAAATGGTTGATGGGTTTGCTGTAATTTTTTTGAAGTTGACTGTACAAATAGTATTTCTGCAGTCCCCAGTTGAGTTTCAGAGATTTTTGAGATTTGCCAGATTGGTAATGATCTGACAGCCTAGAGGACACTCAGTATATTTCTTTTAATATACTATGGGGAGATGTTAAATTCATAATTAATAATGGCATTAAATATTTTTCCCTTCTTCTGGTTTTGCATTAGCAAGAAATGTTCTTTTCTTGAAGAGAGCACTCCTACACCAATAGTTTGTCTTAAAGATGATGCTCCATTCATGTTTGACATGACTTATGGCTCTGATGTAGGAATTCTCTACACAAGATGAATTAGATGCCTTCAAGCCAGTCATGCATGCCCTGAAACATGTAAGAATGAAACAGGTAGTGGCTTATAATTTTCTTATTTTTTTTTTCCAGCTGAAAAAGAAGATGCCAAAAAGAAAAGTGAGAAGGAAATTGTTGGTGATGTGAAAAAAAAAGGTATACTTTCTTTGTGGTCTTGATCATATTATGGTTAGGATACTTGCTTCATTAAATATATATATATATATATATATCTGAATGACATGCACAAATTGTTTATGAATGCTTAAATTCACTGATGAATTGATCATTCAAGCAAAATGTGTAGTAAACAAAATAAAACAGGCAGGAGCAGGCATTTATCTTTGCAGGTAAGACACTCTTGTCCTGTAATGAAGTACCTGAATTTGAGTCTCAATTCTGATTCCTGAACATGAGATTCCCGACAATACAGATAATGGGAGGCAATAGTTGTGACTTAAATCGCTGACATTTGCCACTCGCTTGGGAAACATGGATTGGACTCCAATTTTCAGCTTTAGTCATTTCAACCCATTGCAGGCATGTTGGTAACGAAGCAGTATGTGAGTTTTCTGTATACTCTTCCTTCCCTTGCCTTCCTTGCCTTCCTTTGCTTTGTCTTTTCTCCTTTCCGACTTTTCTTCCTTTAACTTCCTTCCCTTGTTCTCCTCTGTTCTGCTGTTTATCTCCAGACTCCTGTCCTCCAATAGCAAGGGGGAGATAAAGCACTTGATAACTAAGTTTCAGAGGTAGTTCTTATGTCTTTGAAAAGGGACTTAAGAATTAAGAACCTTGAAAGTGGTTCTTAGGGTTTATATGCCAGACAGAGAAAAGATTTACAGTTAAAGATTTCTAAAACAAATGAACTGAAAAAAAAAAAAGGGGGAGCCTAAATTCAGTAAGTCTAAGGTTTAGCAAGCCTAAGGCCCGCCGGATAGAACTGAGAAAGAGTACACCAACACCATTTTGCAAAAACTAAGACAAGAAAACAGCCCCATGGAGAATCATTTAGAAAAGGGGTGATTCAACTTTTAATCACTTAGACTTTTGCCTTAAATTAAATTCTACTTTCACTTTTGTCCAAACACAAATACTGACTTCCATTCAGATGAGCATTAAGTCAATGTGGAAAAGATATTCATTTCAGTATTACGGTTTGAATATAAGCATTCTCACCCAATAAGCTCTCGGCCTGTATCAGCAGTGCTTGAAATTACACCATTAAGTCACTGGCTTCCTAAAATTGTGAAAGAATTTTGTTCACTCTGAAAATGTGAATCTCATAGTCTTTCTGGTTTTCACACTCTCTCTCATGCTTTGTCCATTTCAGCAATTAACCACCTAAAGTAAGATTTTTAGATCTTCCTATATAATGGTAGTTGGAAATGAAGCCCTAGGAAAAACAAGCAGTGTGTAATCTAGAAGGAGAAGTTGTAGATAAAGCTTCAAAAAATGATGTTTCTAAAAATGCAGGCAGGGCTCTGGGGGAGATGACGTAGGAAGTAATATAGATACCGAGAACAGGGAGCACTCAACAAAAGAAAAACAGATACCTTGGGATGCTAAACTAAGTAGGGATCCTCTTTTAGCAGATAACAGATAGAAATGAAAAGAAATCCTATACAAAATGTTGCCAGTGTGGTAAAAAGTAAAAATTAAAAATTTCCTATATATGTGGGCTATGAAATGAGAAACAAGAGACAATTAGACATTCTGTGGGTCTGGGAGTTTGCTTCCAACTATTCCGCATCTAAAGATTCATCACTAAAGTACATTGTAGTAGGATTTATTACCTTGTTGAATATTTATTGGTTTTATGTGGAAACATTCTTATTTTCTTGATGAGATATGTACTTTAGAATATTGGAAAACATGCAGTTTTAACTGTTTAAAGATACTGAGAAAATTGTTGCTTGGGATAGTGGATTTATAAGAGTTGTTTGAATGAATAATAATGATGAATTACTTCTGTAACCATCAGGTTAACTAAATCATTGCAGAAGAAAATGTGAAATGGCAGTCTTCCAGGTGTTTGTCATATGCATACAAATTTAGAATCAGAATTTTTAAAAACCTCATTGATATGTGCTTGTGTGTATATGTGTGTGTTTATTTTGATGTGGTTTTATATCTTTGGAAAGAAAAGTATATTTATGTACTGTGAATGTTAGAAATATCTGAAACATGCATGCAAATAGGAGACTTGTATTCTTAGCCCAAAGTCAAGTTAAAGACGTTATTTACCACTGGCAAGAGAACAGATGAAGCCAGCTTCCCGTACTGCAAGGCCAGTGCTCAGCCACTGAGGCAGGCATGGAGGGGGCGGTCAGGCAGAACATCTGCGGATGGCTCTCAGCTTGTGTTGCAAAGCAACCGTGTGCTCCTTGAAAACAGTTTGCTGCTTGCAGGCTTGTCATTTTTACTTCTGATTATGCAAAATACCATTGGTTCTACCGAATCAATTCAGCTTCCAAATGACAATATACATAACTGAATTATGTAGAAACTCAAAATTGTGCATATGTGTGCATGAGAGATGGGTATACTTAGTGCTTTTTAAAAAAAAAACCTTTTGTTTCTACTTAGAGATTGATAATTTTTCAACTGTATTTTTATGTGACAATATGGTTTAAAGTTGATCATTTTAAACCTATAATGAAAAATAGTATAATTTACAGAGATAACGAGGGAAATTGACAATAACCAGAAACCTTGAAGAGCTTTAGTACATTTGTCATCTCTTTCATTTTTTATAAGATTTATTTTATTTTTATTGGAAAGTCAAATATATACCGAGAGGGGAAGAGACACAGAGAAATATCTTCTATTTGTTGATTTACTCCTCGAGCGGTGCAAAGGTCAGAGTTGAGCCGATGCAAAGCCAGGAACCCAGAGCCTCTTCCAGGTCTCCCACTTAGGTGCAGGGTCCCAAGGCCTTGGACCATCCCAGGTCATGGACAGGGAGCTGGATGGGAAGCAGGGCTCCCGGGAAAAGAACCTGTGTCCATGTGCAATCGCAATGCATGCAAGGTGAGGACTTTAGCCACTAGGCTACTGTGCAGGACAAAATTTCTTTCTAAAACAACGTATATAATACCCATCCTGTAGCTTGCAACAGTAGCAATTTGATAAGATATTAAGTTTGCTTGCACATATGATGGATGCGTTTAGGAGATTTTATTATACTAAATTTTATAGAATTTATCAGATCTTCATAAAATGCTTCATTATTTTGATTATACTTCTATATGCATTTGTACAGATGCAAATGAACATAAGGCTAAAGTTCTATCAAGTGGTAAGTGAAGTTTTTCTGCATGAAGCTAAGCAGGTCACACTCAAACAATTATTTATTTTTATTGCAAAGTCAGATATACTGAGAGGAGGAGAGGCAGAGAGGTATATCTTCCCTCCATTGATTCACTCCCCAATTGACTGTAATCGGCAAAACTGAGCAGATCCGTTGCCAGGAGCCAAGAGCTTCCCCCAGGTCTCCCACATGAGTGCAGGGTTCCAAGGCCCTGGACCCTCCTCTACTGCCTTCCCAGGTCACAAGCAGGGAGCTGGATAGGAAGAGGGGTTGCCACGATTAGAACTGATGCCAATATGGGATCCTGGTGTGTACAAGGCGAGGACTCTAGGTTACTGCGCTGGGCGCATAGATCACACTTTCTAGTGATTAACATTATGGAACATTTGGAAGTTTTATGTGAGTCAAATTGTCAACCCATCAATTAACAGTACTTTTAAAATCTGTAATTGGCACATCAGGCTAATTATAATAATCTCCCTTTTAGTGTATATCCCAAACATTTCATGATAAAATTAAACCATTATCTATCACTTAACATTTAAATTTTTAAAAGAGAAATGATCAGGAAAAATTTGTAATGTTACAAGGTACGTTTCCATCATGAAGTATAGTAACCATAAAAGGAAATAAAAATCGTTGGAAAAAAGTCTTTCTGAACACCAGACTTTAGTGTTAGACATACTATATACTCTGATTAGCATGAATGGCACTTCTCAAAGGGAACTGGACACCTGCAGAATTGTTGGCGGGACTGGAAAAATGAAATCTAGGATATGCTAGGAAGTTAGCACATATTAGGGCAAATGAATGGGTCAAGATCTACTGCATCATCAAAGCTGCCTGTTCCCATCCAGCGAATAAATACTAGAAATGATAAGGCCTCAGTGGCTTGCTGACATCTTCATTGACCAAGTCATTTATCTGATTTGTCAAGTCACTTTTGCTTTGCAGTCTCAGCCAGGTGTCTCTAATGGCAAAATTTATTATGCCTCCGAAATTCACAGCAAAAGGGAGTCTGGAAGATGAAGATTTTCAGTATTTCAATTTTCTAACCGGAAGGGAGAAAGTAAGGAAACTGGCAGAGCTATCCATGGTATCTGTGATAATATTGATGCAATAACGATGTTTTCAAATCTCTAACAGAGAAAATTTAAATTACCTAAAAACACAAAGAGATTATTTTTAAAAGTGTGAATTATATAGTAACTACATATGCCTACTGCCACCTCTGAAAATCTCAAAAATGTGATTTAATAAATACTTATAGCCTGGACAAAATATAAACACAAAGAAGCAGGCAAAAATCCAAGCTTATCCATCTTGCTCAGGTGAAACGCTTTTTGGAAAATAAGTCATAAACCTTAATATATAAGCATTATACATATATAATGCTTAAATATATAAGCATTCTATATCAACTATAAAATGATTATAGGCAATGATACATGAGTGATTATGCTGTAGATTAATATTTAATTTACCACACTTATCATGTATTTTTGAGAAGCATTTGGATAAATGTATGCATTATGAGAAGGGTTCTTAAAAAAAAAACTCCCTGACTTTTACTAGGACAAGACAAATTCATTTATTCATGAATTCCTGTGGAATTCTTGTGGAATTCTTCGTTGAAGCTGTTGGCTGGATGCGTACCTCATGGCAAACATTATAGTCGGTAATGGTTACACATAGATAATGAGTCATATGATCTCCTACAGACCAGACATCCTGGCATGGCAGTCTAAGCTTCTGCCTGCATCGCTGCCATCCCACATGGGCACTGCTTCATGACCCAGCTGCTCTACTTACAATCCAACTTTCTGCTTAAAGACTGGGAACGCTG